AGCAGCGTGGGCACTTGGTTCTGTGGGTTAGGGACTTTGCTGGTCACGGGGAGTCAGACGTCTTGAGTGGCATCTCTCCGAAGGCTAGGGGTCTCGGGAGCGCGTTTTCCACGCGTGTGCTGGCTACCTGGATGTCGTCTTCGGTGGCGTGTCCGCCAGCCTCTGCCCACCTGTCCCTTGCACCCCTTGTCTTTTTCTTGTTGGCATCTTGGGGGGTCCTTTTTTTCTTTTCAGAGACAAGGTCCCTCGAAGAGATGACATTTTGCGCCAAAGCCAGTTCTTCTCTCATGTGGTCCCCCAAACTAGGAAGTCCTCTCTCTGCCCATTTCCTAATTGGAATCCCCTTTTCCCCAGTCTTTGTAGCCCCCGGGGGGAGGGGAGGGGAGGTAGTGATGAGTCTAGAATTAGCTCATGAAAGGAACCCCCAGAGCCATGGCTGTGCTCTCGTGTGCACCCCCCAAACACCCCCTCCCCCATCAGGTCAGCTGTGGGCTCTTCGGTTTGTTTCCCCACCACAGGACAAAGCTCTCTAAGGCTGGGCCATCTCTGATCTTCCAGTGACACCCAGGTGACCCCAGGCCCTGTATTGTGGGAATTCCATCTGAAATGGATGATGGAAAAATGCCAGCCCACAGCAGAACTTGTTTGAGGTTTTGTTATGCTAAGTTTAAAAATCTCAGGAATCCCACCAGGGAGCACCCCCCAGTGGCCCTAAGCCTTTGCTTATTTATTACTGCACTGCTAATGGGGGAGGTCCTTGCCCACTCCCCTTACCACACGGCCAGCATGCCTGTCCCCTGGGTTTGTAACAAGGTGACCTCATCCTGGGGGTGGGGAGGCTCACACTCTCAGAAACCCTCTGTAGGTTGGCTGTGAGTCAGGATTGGCTAGGGGACTGTGGGTTCGGGGCCTTTAAGCATGTAACAGACAGCAGGAGAGCTCGACTGGGATTCTTTCATTTTATTGTCAGTGGGGAGGAAGCAGGAGTTAGGAGACTCCCGAAGGAGAGAGACGGAGGATGCTAACATTGTGGTGAACTGAGCTGGGCAGGCATCGGGTGTAAGGATGGTGCAGGACCAGGCAGTGTGCCGTTCAGTGGAGCACAGGGTCCATGGCACCTAATAACAGGCAGATGGGAAGGAGCCCTGGTAGCGTATGCTTTGTGCTGCTAATTGCAAGGTCAGTAGTTCAAAACCGCAAAGGTGAGGCTGTGTACTCCCCTCAACAGTGGCACTCTCGGAAACCCGTAGGGGCAGTTCTCCTGTCCCCCATGTAGGGTTGCTATGAGTCGGCACCCACCTGATGGCAGTGAGGTGAGGCAGGCCGGGAAGACCCAGAAGTGGGGAGAGAAGTGTGGAATGGATGTGGTAGACTCAATAGGTTGTCTTCACCCAGCAACGCTTGGCAGCGAGGTGCAAGTTTGGCAGGGAATTGGTCAAATGCCCAAAGAGAGACAGGATTGAATCCACTATCCCAAATGTGCCCCTTGCAAATTCTGAACGGCTGTCAAGAAATTATAACAGGGTTTCACTGAAAGGAGGTGCCGGGGGTCGGTTCCTTCTCTTAGCAACCCTGTGCAGAGCAGAACCGGACCCAGTCCCACGCCATCCTCGCAGTTGCTAGGTTTGAGCCCATCCGTGCTGCCACCGCAGCCCCTTGAGGGCCTCCCTCTTTGTCGCTGCCCCTCCGCTCTACCAAGTGTGATGCCCTTCTCCAGGGACTGGTACTCCTGACAGCGTGTCCAAAGTATGTGAGCCTCTAAGGCAGGGGTCTCTGACTTTTTAAACAGGAGGCCAGTTCACTGTCCCTCAGACCGTTGGAGGGCCGGACTATAGTTTTTAAAACTATGAACAAATTCCTATGCACACTGCACATTTTTTTTAAGGGTGGAGACAGACCCAGTCATGGACACGGCAGCCTGCTGGGTCTCCTTGCTTTATTAGTTTCCAGCCGATCAGTTCAGAAAGTTGGAGAGGGTGAGGTGGGAGAGGGTGAGGCCGCCACCAGGAGCTCTGGACGAACTCCCCTGGGGCAGGCTTGGCAGGTACAGACCTCCCAGGCCCCACCGGGGATTGGTAGGAAGACCATGGATCAGTGGCTGCTCTTCCACACAGATGGAGACCTGGGGCTCAGGGGTTGTGCCACTGGTCTGCATGCCCCAGCAGATCACAGACCATCAGTGCCCTGGTCAGCCTGGAAGGATTTGACCAGAGCGATTCATGCAGTGACCGGGCTGGACCCACGACTGGGATATGGCCATGTAGTGGTTGCATCTGCTCACACAACTTAGGGGGTCAGCATGGGCCCTGCTGAGGGCTGGAGCCCCTTTGGGAATTGGGGCTCATAGGGTGAGACCAGACAGGCAGAGAGGGGGCGCCAGGCCGAGGAGAGAAGCCAAGGGTGTTATGTCTTTCAAGACACAGACACCCTAAGACCAGAGTCCCAGCCTCGAGCCTCCGAGGCCAAGATGAACCAGCCCTCGGCCCCATCCTGGCACAGGGGGTAGGGTTATCAGGAAACACCGCCCCTGCCCCCCATCCAGCCCTCCCTGCCTGAAGGTCAGTAGGCTGTAGTTCTAAAGGCCGGTGACCAATGCCTGTGGCTGCTTGGGGTTGGGCTGCCCGCTTACTTCCCTGGGAGGCATATTTGTTGCCTTTAGGGATGAACTTTGGGGAACTGCTGAATATTCAGAAGCGGGACTGCCCCCGCTTGGGGCCATCATTGAGGAACTCGTGGCCAAGCCCGTGGCCACATTTACCGCAGGACACCTTAAAGGCTTCAGGCTGATTGCGCTCGCCGCTTGGCCACGCTATCATCGTGGATGGTCTCCGTGAAGGCTGGCCACGTGACGAGTGCTCGTACTTGGAGCGGCTAGAGAAAACCTCGCCCGGAGAAGCCGCAGAAAGACATGGTGCCACCAGGTTCCCGTCCCGCTTTCACACTCCAACAGCTCCGAGTGCACCGACCCGACCACACAGACCTTATTTTGAAGGAAACAAACAAAACGGGCAAAAACACCCAGCGGGCCAGATAACTGTCCTTGGGGGGCCGCATGTGGCCCGCGGGGCCGTGGTTTGAGCACCCTTGCTCTAAGGAGCGCTCTGGCTATGCTTCTCCGGGACAGGTCTGTCTGTTCTTTTGGCAGTCCATGGCATTTCCAGTCTTCTTCACTCGCCCCCAACTCAAGTGCCGTGATTCTTAGATCATCCTTCGATGTCCAACTGTCACACGCACAGGAGGCCATTGAAAATAGCTTGGTTTGGGGCAGGCACACCTGAGTCGTCAAAGTAGTGTCCCTGTGCTGCAGAGTTCCCCAATGCAGTGCGTCCACTAAAAGTCAGAAATGAAAGGGTTGGTAAAGAAGTATATTGATGGCTGCGTGAAACCTGTGGGTCGTGTGGGGTCACTACGCCCCGGCATCGACTGGGTGGCAGTGGGTTGAGTTTCCCAGGTGCTCCGACATGAGCTTGTAACTCAGTGATGAAAACGTAGCACACCGTAACATGTTGTGTTGCACTTCTTGGTAGCACGTCGTAACCTGTTCTGTTGCACCTGAAGGACTGGCCCGTCTTTCATACTCCCTGCGTCACAAGCTCAGTTGTGCCCACACTGCGTTCCTACGCGAAGACGTTGGTTTTGTGTACAAGAGAAGAAAACAAGAATTAGCAGCTGGAAGAGAGTGCCGCTTCCTTTTTTTTTAAGGAGGCAGGGATAAGAGGGCGTTGCTAAGTCCCGAAGCCCACCCTCTGCACCCGGTTTCTCCCCCTGTCCCCTGTTGAACTTGCTCGACATTTAATCTGGGCTCCTCTCCCCTTGCAGGGCGTGCTCCTAAAGCGAAGTGGCAAGTCGCTGAACAAAGAGTGGAAGAAGAAATACGTCACCCTGTGTGACAATGGCGTGCTGACCTACCACCCCAGTTTACATGTGAGTACCCCATCCTCGAAGCAGTTAGCAGGCACAGACCTCAGCCTCTCCCCACCCTGACACACACACACACCACCACCACCACCCTCCCTTTCATCCCTTTGTGAACCTAACGGGTCAGCTTGGCCTCCCGCTCAGCCATGAGCTAGACCATCTCCTGTCCCTTGCGGCTCTGCCCTTGCCCTGTGTGTCCCCCTCTCTCCTGTTCCCAGAGCGTCTCTCAAGCCCCACTGAGGCACTATCACAGCGCGGTGTTGAATCAGCTTCGTGGCAGGTGGACCTCCATCCATCTCAGCCTCTGGACACCAGCCACAGTCCCACCTGCACCCAGGAGGCAGCCCCGTTTGGCCTGGACACAAGCCCGCAAATTCAGTGCGAGTCAGGACGTCAGTGTTAGTCAGATCCCAGCCTGGGGCCGTTTGGGGGCAAGAGGGGCCTCCCTCTGTTGCAGTGGCCACGGTGGTGCTGGCATTTGCTATGAGATTCAAACGCTGCACTTCATCCTTCCGAGGGGCTGACCTGCCTCCCCCTGCTGGTTCTCACTGGGAGCCTCAAGTGAGTCTCGAAAGGGATGGGCTTCTTCTTAGCGTCATCCCAGCAGTCTGGTTGAGCCTGGCTGGATGGAGATCTGATTTAGAGAAATATCTACTTGGGCTGCCGACCGCAAGGTTGGTGGTTTGAAGCTACCAGCTGCCCCTCGGGAGAAAGACGAGGCTCTCTGCTGCATAAAGATAGGCAGCCTTGGAAACCACCGGGTAGCCCTGCACTGTCGCTGTGTGTCAGAATTGGCTCGACGGTGGCGAGAATAGCCTTAGCCGGGCGGTCATTGATGGCACCGTGTGAAGGTCTTCATTTTCTGACGCTGTGAATTCCTTGTAAAATGGCCTGTGCGTGCGAGGAATTAGGAATGGGCATCTTGATGGCAATGGTACGCTCCTCCAAACACCCCTTTTGGCCACCGCTCCACTTTACCCAGCATGCTGCTCTTGGCCAGGGCCTGGTCCCTCCTGATAATGTGCTTAAAGTACGTAAGACCAAGTCTGACCATCATCAAGGGCATTAAGAGACTAAATCTCTATAGAAGCCGACACCTCATTTTTCTCCCTCACAAGGAGCATCTGGTGGGTTTGAACCACCAAAGGTACGAGTTACCAGCTCAACGCCTAGCCCACTGCACCACCAAGCCTCCTTAAACTCAACCTAAGACACTCGGCTGTGACAGATGGACGGAAAGCAACACGAGTGTGTCCTCTGTGGCCAGCGCCTTCTGTCCTCTGAGAATTGTACATGAGGGATCCCTGACTGGGGGTGGGAGGCCTGCCCCTGAGCAGGGAAGTGGCACCATGGGGGATTGTGGTCCAGATGGGCAGGGGCAGCCCCACCGGATGACGAGAGACCCCTCTTTGCTCCAACAGGGACCTTCAGGGGGCACCTTGAAGAGGCAGCCAGTGATAAGGAAGTGCCCTCACCCTGGAGAGTGTAGCCTCTTCTTCATCTGCCACCACCCAGGCCCCGCTAAGGAGACCTGAGCAAGGGGGTCAGCTGGGGGACCATGCTGTGCCCTGGCTTGGAACTCAGGCTCGGCGTCCTCCTGGGCTTCCCAGAAAGCCCCTGGGTTGGCCATGGGCAGGGCTCTGTTCCCAATGCCAGGCACATTTTCCCTGCCCTTCTTGGATCTGCTTGACAGGTAGCCTGGCA